TAAAATCAAGGTACATTATATAAAATCTTTCAAGACTTGCAAAATCAAACAAATATAGTGACTCGATATAAATACATTTAAAGATTATAAATCCAAATCTCTTATTGTAAAAAAATATATATCTTTAATTTATACTTAAAAATAATATATTCATTACTTATTTATTAATAAAAAATTAAAGTATAAAATAAGATTTAATCTTATAAAAAATAACCATTAGCAAAAAAAAAAAAAAAAAAAAAAAAAAAAAAAAAAAAAAATTGAGTTAAATACAAAGTAGCAACATAACAAGAATTATTGTTATCAATGAGATAGTGAGCACCATCTTAACCATGGTGCAAAGATTGGACAATATAAGAAGTTTCACTGAATAATGTAGAGATACAATGAATAAAAATAGTAATAAAGAAGAAAAAATAAATTGTATATAATTGAAAGAAAATCAAATACTACTTTTACTTAGCTTAACTCTAATAATTTATAGACAAAAATAAAAATGTTTACACCAATAACCACATTAATATTGGAAAGTAATACTAAACTAATTTAAAAGTGTTCAAGTCTATACAAAAGTTTAGAGACATATGATACAACCAAGAAATATTTTTAAATTAAATGAATAGAAGGTGTAATTTTGATTTAACATAGCTAAACTCACCTTAACATTAGAATGTTTGTTTATCAACTTGCAAATGTTATAACACATCTAAATCAATTTAAGGATAAGAACATCAATTATATAAACAATTTCAGCTTCAACCAAGTTAAAAAGATTGCAATATGCCATTAATACTACATCATAGTTGGTTACAAAAAAACTAAAATTTGAATTATTTTAGCTTGCAACCGCAAAGCACAAATCTCATTTAAAGCAAGCATGTATGACATCAAAGAACAAACAAGAAAAAGATTGAAATGATTACAACATGCAAGAGCCAATGCCATAACTCTTAGGATGGAACTCAATACTACCTTATCACTTATGTTGATAGATGATGTGAGGAGCAACAAAGCTTGAATATTCACAAGGTAAAGACTAAGAGAATGTTGCTTCTTGAGTAGTAGATATGAGCAGATTTGAGTGGACTTAAACAAACTTAAGCTACAAAGTAAGAACAAGGCAATGAGACTTACAAGTAGATCTGAGTGGACTGAAGTGGACTGGAGCAGACTTGAGCTACAAAGCATAGATGGATTGGTCTTGATTCTACGTACAAACATGGGACTTGGAATCAAGAGTCAACATATTCCATCTCTGGAATCAAGAGTCGACATAATCCATCTCTGGAATTGGATTGGTCTTCAAAATATTTTTATCGTTATGTTTGTGATTTCAAATAGATAAATTTGAAAGAAATATATATATATATATATATATGTACACTTACACAAAATAATAATAATAATAATAATAATAATACAACAATCATCATCTTCGAGCTACATGCATCTCTACATGTTATTATAAAAAATCAAAAATCAAAATCAAAATCAAAAATTTAAATGATTAAAAATATTATTAAAAAATAAAAAAATAACAAAAAAATAACAAAAAAAATAACAATTGATGAATGAATGCACCAAATTAAGTAATGAGAACACAATTCCAAGAGGAATGAAAATAGGGTTGGGAGGGGGATGAGTGGAGGCAACCGTTCCAGGCAGAAAGGATGGATAGATGGATGGATGGATGGATGGGGACACTGTTGGTGCATGGACCAACAAAGGCAGACCAAGAGTAGGGCTTTGTCCCCCCCCCTTTTTGAAACTTTGGGTGCACAAGGCAGATTCCATAGAATTTGAGCCTTTGCAGGCAGGATTGTATGGTAGAATCAAGCCCAAAAAATAAGGTGTCTCCTCTTTCATGATAAAGGGGGCCATGTACCATTCATTGCCCCCCCCCTCCCCCCCCCTTCAATTTTTTTCTTTGAAATGGTAGAAAAATTAAAATTAAAATTAAAACTGAACAAACACCTTCCCTTCTCCATTCTTTTGTTGTATTCCTGCCCCTGCCCATAAGAAGCTTTTGCAACAATGAAAAGAAAGAGAAACAGATTTGTATGGATGTTCATTAACAAGATTTCCTAATTAATTAATTGATTAATTAAGGCAAGGGGTGTACTTACTAAGCACTCATTGGGCCCTAATTTACTATGGGGAGCAATTCCTAAGCTTTGCTCTTTCTATTAAGAGGAAAATATATTTTTTCTCTATTTCTAATTTTTTTGGGAATATAAGTGACAGACATAAAGGAGTCCTTGCACTTTTATAAAAAATTGGATACTTTTGTAATTTATTTACAAATAAAGTCACAAAAAATTAAGATGGGAGGAGTTTGATTTTTTTGGCATTTTGTTCAATTCTAATTATTTTTTTATAATTTTTAATTAGTTTGAAAATGACAGATGGTACTTCATTTCCATGGACATTTGCACATGGGGGGGGGGGGTTGAAGGTTTGTATTGAGAAAGTAGGGAATTCTTTTGACCATTGAATATGTGTTGGGTTTGCTTTGTCTTTGACCTGTCCTGCAAAATGAACATAATCAATGATTTGCAACAACAATGTACTTAATTTCATTTACCATACTTAGTAAATTATATTTTCATCAAACACTAATTTCATGTTCAAAGAACATATTTTAAACTTTGTCATATATATATATATATATATATACACATATGCATCATTTTTTTAAAACATTATACATGATACAATATGTAAAAACATTTAATGTTAATTTGGATAGGCTATTGAATGTGGTTTGCAAGCCAAGTAGGAGAATTTTTTTTCTGTCTTTTGTTTAACTTTTACATGAACTCTATCAAATCTTTTTTTAGAATCTTTCAGAATGTTTCATAATCTCCTGCTGTGAAAACAATATCTAATGAAATTGAAAATAAAGATTAATTTTTTTGGTATACCCTATTATGGTTGGTTTCTCACACAAAAATCCATCTTTGTTTTAGGTTGTGGGTACCCATATATGAACATAAATACAGGGCATTGTTCTATCTTTTCATTTACTTGTAGTGTTCATTTTGGTTTACATTTGAATTTTAGAATATTCAACAAAGAACAAGATTCATATTTGATTGTATTTATTTTGATATATTGCATGAGCTAATTCAAGAACAGGTATTTTAATTTTCTTGACACATCAGTGCCTATATGCTACTTCTCATGTACGTGTAATACATATGCAATACACATTATTTGGTTTTCAGTGCTTCAAAATAATAATTATTATTTTGTTAATCCAAAGATTTACTCTACATATATTATCTCATCTACCTCTCTTCTGTCCTTTTCCATTTGGGTGTATATGTATACATAAATATGAGAATATGTACATGGTAAACATTGAATTTATTTTTTAGTAATATGATGAAAAAATGACAGTAAACAAGAAATTTTATATTACGCCATAAAAACAAGGTACTTGGTAGTTAGCATATAAACCACACATGACTAATTGTAACATATACAAACAATCACTTTTAAATAATGAATTTTCAAGACAATTTTGATTAGTAAATATTAAATGATATGTCTAACTGTTACACTTATCAAATATTTCTTATTCTATTTTTTTGCATGAAGACGGTATATAAAAATTTATTTCTAATACATTGCAAGTCAATAGATTTTATTAGCTTTTTAGCAATTAAATTTATTATTATGTAATTTTTTGGGGATGTTATTGTCAATGTTATGTGAGGTTGATATTCAAAGTATACATATAGCATATATTTAACAATATATATTATAATGTGCCTTATCTTCTTCTCCTTTTGTTTTATTACAATTGGTAATTATCTCACTGATGATTTTTATGCTTTTCAGCTAAAATAGAAGGCCTTTCTGTGTACATTATTTATCTTTCACTTGAAATCCATCCTTCCTATTAAATATTAGAAATCATTTATGCCAATAAGCACAAAAATAACTTTAAAAACACTCATAGCTTTGGATTTAGCTTCTACAAATTCCATTGAATTCTACTCAATATTCTCCTTCTATGAAAACATTAGGTGGAAACAAAAATTAGTACTCAAAGTAAAAACAAAATCCTAACCATCAAGAGGGCTTGTTTATGATAGTTATTTGATTCCTTATTCCTAAGTTTTTACACAAACTTTATGCATTCTTTTGCATGTATCCACATACACAAGCATATCAAGAAGGTTTTTGTCTTTGTTTTTGTTTGTTTGTTTGTTTGCTTGTTTATTATTATTATTATTATTATTATTATTATTTTTAATTTTTTTTACTTTTCAAAATCCAACAGGTAAGGGAGGATGGTTTAATTGTTGGTTGTTTATTCACATAATTAGTTTTATAATGTTCATTTTCATTAAAGGTTTTCATTTAAGACCATTCAAGGGAATGAGAGCATGATCATGGAAACCCTAATTTTGAGACGCAATGCCACATCCATTATCTTCCACACTCAGTTCTCGTGAGAGCTGGGTACTCATCTTTTATTCCCAACAATCGAACAGGCCTTTTTTTTTTTTTTTTTTTTGTGTCTCGCCGCTTACAACCATCCAAAAAAAGATTAAAAAAACAGAAAAAAATAGTACGAGAGAACAGAAGTGAAACTAAACAGAAAAAAATAAGCAAAACAAAAAGAAAAAAGAGAAAAAAGAGCATAAAGTGGACAACGTCTGGGCTGCTTGAAGCCACGCTCGTCGGATTCAGAGATGGCGACACGCATGGCTGTCCATGGCACAAGAGCATTCCACCTGGAGAAGATCTGATAGAAAAAACAGTACAAAAAATGCAACAAAAAACACGAAACTTGGAATAATGCAAAATGGTGGGAGGCACTGGAGGCGAGCGATCAGGACATGACATCACGCGGCGAAGAAATGGGCGACAAGTCACCGCCTCGTTCGAATTGCATGCTTGAGGCAGGTCTCGTGGGGCGGAAAAGCTGTAGGAAAAGACGGAGATGATGAAAAATATAAGAAGAAGCCGATGGTTGATGAAGGTGAAGAAGGAAAATTCTACAGTGCATTCCGAAATGGCTGCTTTCTTTGATTGACTGACTGATTGCTTGCTTGTTTGCTTACTTACTTGATTTACACTGAGTGAGACGATATGGGAAGCTTTGGTCAGAGGAGTCATGATGCGAAGGTCCACATCGAGCAGTCGGAGACGAGAAGCGAAGTCAATCGGTTACTAAGTGTACAGTTTTGAGCTACTGGACGGGTGTGGGAAAGTTGAGAGCGTGGGGACTCTGTTTCTGGCCGTGTTTGCCGCCGAGATTCTGGTGGATCTGTGGCAATAGACCTGGAATGTACCAGGTGGGTTGTAATCAGGGCACCTCAAACCTGTGGCGACACTCGTTGCACCTCCGGAGGCAATTACCAGCAACGACAAAAAAAGTTGGATAAAAAGGCCGGAATGCGGATCGTCTGCGTCTGTCTGGATTGAACCCCAAATCCCATGGCTGCAGCACCGTTAGTCAGTCTCACGTTGGTGTCGTTGCATTTACTGGCGCCGAGAAAAAGCGCACCTCAGCCGAACTCACTACAGGACTGCGTCAGTTACGCACTGAGACCATTCTCCAAACCCATGGGTTCGTCTTTCTTCGTCTGTGCGGCTGGTGCTCCGGAATCAACCCCGGCCAGGTCACCTGTCCCTTCCAAGTCCAAGTTTATGTTGGAAAATATCACGTTCTTAATCCAAGCGTGTCCTTTTTTTTTTTTTTTTTAACCCGCTGATTTCGACGTCTGAGTGTTGCAGAGCTTCCAATTGTACAACGGGGTCTTTTTGAGAATTCTCTGTTGATGCGTCAAGTACCATGGATGTGTAGCTCACGCATCATTCCGGTACTCTCAAGGCTCTACGACCAGGATCTCTACGCATCGCGCGCCCCTACAACCCTATGAGAACATAACAATATGCAAAGATAATCAGATACACTGAACGAACTATTGACGGTCAGGAGGTGTTCTTGACCTGAATTATAGGTATTCCCGATACGAAATTATATTGAGGGAGTGGACAGCATAACAATCTGTGTTAGTTCAACTAATTGCGTGCCATATAAGTAGACGTCACGCCTGATTCAAGAGGAAGTTAAATGACATTTCCTGGTTTAAATTTTGAATTTCAGAAGAAGGGAATTCCACATTCAAAACTGGGGCCCAATCAGTGAGGCGGCGCAGAACACAAATTAGTAATGACTTCTTCGATGCTGCAGTGTCTCTTTGCTAAAAAAGTCTTCACCAAAGTGTCCAATAATCGGGAACCTATTACATTCCAATCGCAATAAATAAACTCGCAATCCCCCAAGCACAATCGGAGCAGCGGCTCTTCCGTGTCGAGTCCCCATAAGTTCTAAGACCTTGTGGTATCGTGGCCACTGTTGTGATTACCCGGGTGGAACTCATGCATCTCCCACTCTCTTGTATTTGATTCTGTGGGGGTGGTACCTGAGTCTTTCTTTTTCCCTGTCAGACCCATAGGTAGTGCCGCGGTCGCAATTCTTGTGGTGGATTGGCGACGGTGCGAAATTAGAGGCTTCGAGTTTATTGCTCTTTGATCTGGGAACCAATCTGCTTTCCACAGAAATTCGCAGTAGCTATCCATGGATGGCGAGGGCTGTGATGGTTTTCAGTTGTCATATTCTCTGTGTGACACCGTTTTGACAGTTTGCTTGGGAGTACTGGAGCACATGAGGCATATAGAACCTTGAAAGGCATGTGTGTGGTCGTAACGTCAGGAATTAGAAAGGTTGGGATCGGCAATCGCCATTCTTGGTTGAAAATTCGCATCTGTTGCGCTGTACTTTGAGGTTTATTTTCGCAGAGACCGAGGGATAGAAGATTCTGACAATCTTGAGCCTGTAGGTTAGGGGGTGGATAAAGAACTGTCGTTGGATGTGGAGCTGAAGAAATCAACTTAATAACATGTTGCTTTGGCTGGAAGCTTCTGTAATTCCAGCGATGTGAGAGGGCAATTATCCTCGTGGAGAAGTGGACCATGTAGAGACGATGTCGGCGGTAATGCTTATCCAGACCATCGTGACAATATCTCAGAATGAGTTGGTTGAATGTGGCGGATGAGTCAGCGCCGTATAATCCTCGGTTTGTGAAGTTTGTTTGCTCTTAGTGCCCCATTCTCGGTCGGAGTTTAAGTTAATGAGACCCAGTAAGTATGGAGTAATCACGTTGACAGGCGATTGACCTCTGCAGCAATCTTTTGCTACCTGCTCCTCGAGAATTCATTACAACCCGCGGAGATGGTACGCATGAAGCTGATATTAACATTGCGGTCTAGTTTGTATGCTCGTGTCGTTGTGAAATTTTCCCAGTCTTCCATTTCATGAGAACTTCATGCTGCGGAGTTTCTAAATTCAAGCTGATTAGCGCTAAACTGGTCGTCCACCTGCGTCCTTGCTGCAACTTATGTTAGCCATCTGTGGGTCGGTCAATCAGGAAGAAGGTCCAGAAACGGTGTTAGTGGGGGATGGTTCAGTGGATTACAATGGACGACCAGCTAACAGGCTTGAGACGGGAGGATGGCCAAGTGCCCCTTATAATTTCTGTAAGTGACCGCGTAAACGACGCAACTCCTTAAGTCATTTTGGTTTCCTTCTGCGATTGATTTCCGCTCACGAGCAGAAGGGAGTACGCAATTGACATGAATCTAAGGTTCCTTCTTTTTTACCGGAATGGCTTCAATATCGTGCGCTCTGCATATGATGAGGAGATGGGTTCGAAGATTCCCTGCTCGACGAAACCTTGTGCTTCATTCTTTTTCTGTTGTTTTTGTTTTAAGTGTCTGCACCACCACCTGGGGATCGAACCAGTAGTTACATGACTGTAATTTTTGAAACAAGATGCTTGCCTTGTTTCCTTTCTCTACTGAATGCAATATTTGTTGCATATTGACATCGAGAGGCCAATTTCAAAGGATCATTCGTGGCATCGTGGCCGCGCAGTAATGGAATTTGCAGAGACCATGGCCTTCATCGGTCTGCAAATCGACTTAGTGCTGTACTTGATCAACAAGATGAACTTTGCCCACACAAAGGCCGCCACCACAGTGACGAATTTCGCAGGCACAGCGTTTCTGTGTCCGCTTTTTGGAGGATTTCTTGCCGATGCCTACCTTGGTCGCGTCTCGGTAGTTGTGATCTTTGGCTGCGTGGAGCTTGTGGTAAAGTCACGTACTTTTTCTTCACCACCTTTTGTTCAACTTAGCTTTGTATTGGAAGCGAACTGGTCTGAGGACTCATAAAAAAGTGATTGTATTGCGGTTCGCAGGGCATGTCGTTAATGGTCATCTCCGCTTCACTTCCATCACTTCGGCCTCTTCCCTGCGGAACTTCACCGTGCAAGGCATCGTCATCAGCAGACCTGGCTGTCCTTTACTTGGGAATGTACCTGATTGCGCTCGGATCCGGAGGATTGAAGCCCTGCTTGTCAAGTTTGGGGGCTGACCAGTTCGACGAGACGCATGAGAAAGAACGCCGTCTTTCAGCAGTCTACTTCAACTGGTATTTCTTCAGCTTTGTGGTGGGAGGGCTTCTGGGGGTCACTGTGCTTGTCTACATCCAGGATAACATCGGCTATGATGTGGGCTATGGCATTTGTCTTGCCTTAGTTGCAGTTAGTTTGGTCGTGTTCGTGGCCGGGTTTCATCGTTACAGACGAAAGCCCCCCTCACAAAGTCCCCTGACGAGAATTTTGCAAGTGATAGTGGCTGCCTTTCGGAAATTACGTTCTCCTCACCCTCCACCGGAATACCTGTATGAAATAGACGACAAAGAAGCCACGCAGTTAGGGTTTCAAAAGATCGACCACACCAGCAGCTGCAGGTGATGGCCCTTCGAAGCTTCCTTCACTTTCTTTCGCCTCTATTAATCCCTTGTGCTGGCTTCTTTTCTTTTCTTTTTTTCTCTTTTCCTTTTTTTTTTTTTTTTTTTTTTTTTTTTTTCAGGGGGGGGGGGGGGTTACAGCCTCTGACTAACCGAGCCACTTGATTGACACCAGATTTCTCGATAGAGCGGCCATTGTAAACGCCAGTGAGAAGGATCATGAGCGGAATAAGAGCAAGTGGGAGCTGTGCACAGTGACGCAGGTGGAAGAAACCAAAGCCATGGCAAAGCTGATGCCAATTTGGACGGGGACCATTATCATGAACGTGGTGCTTGCGCAGCTGCAGACATTCACCATCGAGCAAGGTTCCACCATGGACCGGAAGATCGGAAGCTTCAACTTCCCCGCCGCGTCCATCCCCTTTTTCCCCCTCATTATCATGGCCAACCTGGTGCCCCTGTATGACCGCATCTTTGTCCCCGTCGCTCGTCGTTTCACAGGTCTCGACAGAGGCATAACGTTTCTGCAAAGAATTGGCATTGGCCTCGTCCTATCCGTGGTTTCAATGATCATCGCAGCCGTTGTGGAGGTGAAGCGCACCGATAAAGCCAAAGCCTACGGGCTTCTGGAGGACTCGCGAGCCACCATCCCCATGAGCATCTTCTGGCTCGTCCCCCAATATTTCACCTTCGGGATCGCTGACATGTTCACATTCATCGGCGTGCTGGAGTTTTTCTACGATCAAGCACCAGACAGCATGCGCAGCACGAGCACGGGCTTCTCCTTCTGCACCATCTCTCTTGGCTACTTCATCAGCTCAGCCGTGGTGAGCATCGTCAACATGGCCACGAAAACTGATTCCCACCCTGGTTGGCTCTCAGATGACGTGCCCTTCAACCGGAAGAAGCTAAACTTGTTCTACTGGCTCATGGCTGTGCTAAGCTTTGTGAACTTCGCTTACTTCCTCGTTGTGGCGCATTTCTACAGATATAAGAAATATCCCAGTCCCAAATTCATGAACCCTGACGCCCAGCTACAGAAGAGTGCAACTCCTCCTGTCGACAGCGCATGCGGAGTTGGAACAAAAGACCAATCAAGACAACCTTGATCTCTAACGATGTGAGGAGTCGTTTCTTTGGGATTTTACAGTCTTCCCAAAATGTTCCAGTGTTGTCCATAAATTTCCCAAAAAAACTTGTACATTGCACCCAATCCACTGTTACCATACCACTAGGTGCTCGACTTACACCTCGTATTAGTATATGTATACATGTTGCCATTCCGAATTGGCAAATCCCTCTACTCGTCAGAGGCCATTGCACCATCGCTTGCAACACACTTCTGATCATCCGATTGTGAGCAATGTTGGTGGATGTGAATTTGGCACCAAACTACCTATGGCCATTAGCATTCAGATTCCCAGCTTATTAGAAGTTACATGTCCATGCTTATCTTAGTAGAAAGCTATTGATAGTAACTCAAGGATAAGATCTTGATTAACAGTCACCAGACGGTGAAAGTAACCAATCACAATAATATTTTGTGAGCATATATATTGTATTGTTGAGAAAATTAATTCAATTTGTTGCCTTTGCTATTTTGTCTATATGAGTTTAAACATGGAAAGTGTCTCTTTAAACATGGTATCAAAGCATTGAGGTTGAAGTTGAGAAGTTATGTAGCATGTTTGTATTAAAAATCAATTCCATTGTAGATACTTTTAAATTTTTTCTTTTGTTGTCCATTAATTAAACTAATTTTTTTTTTTTCTTCTAATTCTTTGAGTTTGGACAAGAAATATGAGTCATCAAATTGATTCATAGATTGTTTTAGAACAAAAGAATGCAATTGGAGTATCAATTGGCAATTGTTAGTTGAAGATTAGTATAGAAGATGTTAAATAAAAGCAAAATAGGATTAGTAGATAAAATATAGTTAAGTATAGTAATTCTAGTAGAAACTTCTAATTTTAGAAGAAATCTTAGAAGCATTAATTTAGCATCTTTTTTATATTTTTGGAGCATCTAAAAAAAATCTAAAATAGTCAAAATTCTAGTATAATCTAGATCTAAATACTATACAATATATGTGGTATATAATGTAGAGATGGTATGAGATGAAATGAATGTAATGAATATGTGATTAGATAAGATATATGTTGTACAGTATTATATATGAGATATGTTGTACACAGCCATATACAGTGTAAGGATATATAGAGCTAGATTGCATATGCCCAAGTATTAAATTGCTTAGATAATGAGTTGTTTGGATGTTGAAGATACTATAGTTAGAAAGAGTATTGACAAAATTCTAAGGTAGCCTTAGGTCCTTCTTCTTTCTCTCATTGTTTTTGGATTGGGATGAAGTTCCATAAATTGCAGTAGTACGTGTTATTTTTTCTTGAATTTTTTTTTGTCTAGGGTGTTTTTGGTGGTTGAGAGTTGTAGCAATGTCACAATACATTTCTTTTACTTTGGACTGTTTGGTGACAAGAGCATTGATGGCTATGTGTTTTTCTATGGCCTTTGACATGATTGTCTAAGAATGATTGAGTAGACTCAATTGCAACACAAAAGTAGTTTCATTGCTATAGAATCCAATTCGGTTTGATAAAGTAGTCTTTTCAAAAATAAGTTGTGTAGCAATAGTGTTGTTGCAAAATCTTTAACTTCAATCTCTATATTCCAAAGGTCAAATCATTGATGGTTAGTGGTAGCTATCTTGTGGTAGATTTTTCCTACAAAAAGAATTGTTAGAGCTGCTCATGATCCTAGTTTGTCGCAAGTCTAGTTCTTATAGTACAAACCTTAACTTCTCTATTTTCCTTTGTTTTGAATTTTAAAGCTCTAATCTAGTTGAATTGAGTTTAAGCTTTAATTTTTATTTCAACTTCTACTTTAATTTTGTTATGGTCATTGTATAGAAACAAGAAATAGTGTTACTTACTTTTGTATATGCGACTTTTATTAATTTGTGGTTCTAGAGTAATGGAATATTTAGTCACTATCATACATGGTTTTTGCTACATCCTTGGTGGTTGATGCATCAGTTTTTTTTTTTTTTTTTTTTTTTTTCTTTTTTGTGGTCTTCAAGTTGTGATAAGGATTTATTGAAGATCAGCAAGATCTTGCATAGTTGTCACCACACAGAGTTAAATCATAGTAAATTACTAATAGTCAAAAGATAATAAAGAATTAAAAGATGTTACTATAGTGGTGGTTAGGATTTGTAGGTGGCGGCTAAGTTAAGAGGAATCTAGGATTTAGATGGATGAAAGAAAGAACGATAAAAATGATTAAGTTCATCTACAATCAATGTAAATTCTAGTTATAAATAAAGAGTGTTGGAAGTCAGAATCATCTTACTCCACACTTCACTTTATGTGCAACCTTGGTGATGTTAAGTATTGTGGCTTCTAACTTCTCTTTCTTCAATAAGTTATGGATCCACTCGTATTCCTTTGTGAGTTTTCTTGAAGTTTTATGAAGTTTTTGTTGTTGTGTGGACTAGATCATATTATTGTTGCTAATGTGAGGATTTTTGATACTCCTAACTTTTAGATTCAAATCTAGATCTAGATCTTTGTTTGTTCTTACTTGTTGTTAAGAGCATCTTGGATTCAGGGTTTAATTTACACCTTATGGTGAAGGTATAAAATACTAGTGTTATGTTTTCTTATTGATTAAATATCCTTAGTGGACTAATTTTATAGTTTCATATATTAAAAGAGCTTAAGGTGCCTAAAATATCTCTTATAGTACTTAGAAGTGATTTATGAGCATAAGAAGTATTAGAAGAGTGACAAATCTGATTTGAGACATTTATATTGATCATTGAACTTGTGAGAGGTCCTAGAAATGAAGTTGAGAGTGTTTTGAGAGTAAAAACACTAGTTAATTTAAAAAGAGAGCATTCGAAGATTTTAAGGCATCAACTTCTTTTTGCTGATTTTGAGAGCTTTAGAATTATTTCTCTTGATCTCTTTTAATACATCTCTTTTTTAAACATCGCTTCAAGTGAGGGTGAAGGCTTGAGAGTAATTGAAAATTTTAGAGGTAAAAATTTCTACCATTGGAAGGTCAAAATGGAGCTTTTGTTGGCTTCTTTGGACTTATGGAATATTATAAATGAGAGTGAAGAGCCTCCAAGCATTCATGCTGATACAAAGGAGAAGAAAGACTACAAACATTGTGAAAAGTAGGCCTTTGGATTGATTGCATGTAATATGGATGAAGCCAACTTCTCCCATATTATCTCTTATAAAGGACTAGCAGAAGCATGAAAGACTCTTTACAACATTTATAAGAGTAAGAACTTATCCAATATCATCTACACAAGGAAGAAGTCATTTACATGTAAGATGGAAGAAGGTGAAGACCTCATGACATACATCAATAAGGTGAAGGCACTTGCAAATCAGCTTGCAATTATTGAGAAGTCTTTAGAGGAGGCAGATGTTATCATGACTCTATTCATGACATTGCTAGAATCCTACAACTATTTTATTGTGGCTTTAAAATCCATCAAGATACAAGAACTCACAATAGACTATGTCACAGCAAGACTTAGCTATGAAGTAACTAAGAAGAAAGAAAAAGAGTCTCAAAGTAAAGATTCAACACTCTACTCATGACAAGGCAAGGACAAATATTCAAACCAATGAGATAATATCAAAACTTGCTTCATTTAAGGCAAAGTAGGACATTTTGCTTGAAATTGCTACAAAAGTAAAAAGATAGAAAAAGAGAATGCAAATAGTATATAAGATGAGTTTAGAAGACAAGATTATGCATTCATTGCAACAAGTAGGACTTCTATGGCTGCCATAATAAGATAGATTGTAGATTCACTTTATTTCAAGCATATGATATCTTGTAAGTATTCATTTGATACTTATGAGGCTGTTTTAGCATCCAATATAATTTTGGCAAATAGTAGCACATATCAAGCTATTAGAATTGGTTTTATTGTAGTAGAAATTATTGTGAATAGACAAACTAATAAGATCAAATTCAAAAACGTCCTCCATATGTTCAAGATGAAGCAAAATCTACTTTTAATAAATAAACTTATAATAGAAGATTTTATGATTCAATTCAACAAGAATGCATGTTTTGTAAAAAATTTGTATAGAAATATAGTTGCCAAAAGCTCTAGACAGGGGAATTTATACTACCTCAAGTATAAGAAGTTCAACAGAGTAGAAGTAGCTGCATTTGCTGAATTTACATCAAATCAAGACAAGTTGAATGCATGGCATTGTCACCTTGGCCATTTAAAGTGAAGAGCATGACAAAACTTAAGTCTATAGTAAATGGCATAGATCTTGGCAAAATAAGCCAAAATGCAATACAACTTGTATGTGAAGGATACATATAAGGCAAATAATAAAGAGCTTCATTTCCAAGTAGTGTAGCAATACATGCTACAAAAATATTGGAGTTTATCCATTATGATGTATGTATACCTATGAAGAATATAAATATTAGAAGAACAAGGTATTTTCTCATTTTCATTGATGAATTTTTAAGAAAAAATTGGATTTATATTCTTGAAGCAAAAAAATGAGTGCTTTTGGAAGCTTTAGGAGTTTACAACACTTCTTGAAAAAAAAAGTAAGTGTAATATCAAGATATTGTGTACAAACAATAGAGGTGAGTATATGTCTAAGCAATTTGATGTTTATTTGAAGAATGAAGGAACTACTAGACAAATAACAATTCCATATATTCTACAAAAAAATGGTATTACTGAGAGGGCAAATCAAACCATTGTGGAGATGGTAGGAAGTATGCTTTATGCTCAAAATCTTGGTTATATGTTTTAGACGGAAGTTGTGGTGAATGCAATGTATACAAGGAATAGGTGTCCAACAAGTGGACTTGCATCAATGACACCATAAGAAACTTGGAGTAGGAGACAACCGTGTATTTCACATTTGAGGACCTTTAGATGCATTGCATATGCAAAGATACCAAATTGTATGAGGTCCAAACTTAATGCAAAAGGTACAAAGTGTGTTTTCTTAGGATATTGTGAAGGTACCAAGGCATATAGGCTAATGTGTTTGGACACCAAAAAGATCATCAAAAGTCATAATGTTGAGTTTTTAGAACATAAAAGTGCTTCTGAGCACTTGAAGATGTGTCCAAGTTAGAGTAATGATGTGCTTATTGAAATATCTCCAATTCTAGCAATAGAAGAAGAAGATGAAGAAAATGAAGTGAATGAAGATGAAGTAGCAAAGAAGATAAAAAAGAATACTTTGTAAATTTCAAGGACCAACAATGAACATAGTGAAGATTATGATAATGTTGATGATGAAGAGTATCAACCTTTAAGTCAAAAAAGATAAGCTTTAAGAGAAAAGAAACTTAGAAGAGAGCTTGGAATATAACAAGCTAAATCTTCTTCAAATAAAAGAAGATATCTCTTGAAAGAAAGAAGACCTTGTGGCAAATGGTGGAAGAACCACATCTTTTTTCAATTAAAGAACATACAAATATTACTCTGTTTACTAATTTTTTGTCTTTGTGTGATGCTAAAAAGTCCCAAGATGCAATGAAGTGGGAGAAGGCTATGGAAGAAGAGTATCAATCTCTT